TGCGTTTAGACAGCGGTAGATAACGGCAATTTCGGTTGGGCTATTAATGTACACATTAGACCGTGGAGAGACAGCGAACACAGAGCTTGCACAATCCTCTCTCCCAAATGATCTAATATCGGGTGTGAACCTAGACGCCGAATATCTTTTCGGGTCCATGTTTTCCTCCTGACTCAAAAGACCTTTCTGTGCTTCCGTCCCTAAGTGTTGTGCGGTTTAAAACAATTTTGGTATCCCTGCCGGAAGATTGCAAACAAAAAATAAAACAAATATGTCTTCAGAAAATTTACGAAACTGTTTACCGCGGGATATTAATGTTAGTTTAGATCAAATTAAAACTTTTATTTCATTGATTTCGTATTTCGCGCAGTTTCGGTCTCTGTAAGCAAGAAGTTTCACATGTGCTTTTAGCGGTACGAGTTTTATAGGTGATACGACATTCGTCATAACTCGTCACTCTCCGCATTCTGCAACCATGTTGGCAATAACTATTTCAACATGCCAGTTGTTCCATTCATACGTGACAGTACATGGTCTATTTTCTAATCGTGCGGTATCCTTTACATCATCTATATGAGATATAAGATTACAGGCTTATGATTAGTCTCAACGCTGTTGACTACTGATATTCTGTTTTTGTAACAGAAGAGTTAAACCGGAAATGAAATAATCGATCACACTACATCCCTGTTAATTTATAAAGTATTAGAACCACCACTGTCTCCGACAACACGCCCTTTGAGTATTTACAATCTCAATATATAGGAAAAATTCAAAAGTAAATTTCCAAATGTATTAACCCTACTATCACTTTAATATCGGCCCGACTTGGGTACAATGTATCGGTATAAGATAAAGGCATAGGCTCATCTGGAAATATTTTTTGGGTACGCTTCATTATGTACAGAAACAGGAGGCTGATTTCCGCAGCCGACTCGGGCGTTAAAGTCCCCGTAGAATTGAATATGACAGTCTGCGACAAGGCTGGGTTGTCATACATTCACTGCTCTAAACGTTCTAAGGGCGGTATGGTAGCCTGATGTTTAAAGCGTTCGCTCGTCATGCCGAAGACCATGATTCGATTCTCGACATGCACACAGTGTGTGAACAAAATTTGTGGTGTCTGATATTGCTGGAATATTACTAAAAGCGGCGTAAAACTATACTCACTCACTCACAAAACGTTCTTATCACATATAGACTGTATGCTATAAAATGATTATCCATAAATACATATATATGCTAATAATGCCTTTCAAATACTTCACACGAAATAGTACCGACATTGATGTATAGTATGTACAGATATATGTATGTATAGTGAGTTGTGGGGACACACTCAACGGGAAAGTATAGATATTTCACATATATTTAAAAACTATTTATACTTTTTCTGTGTTATTGCTTGCCAAATGTTGTTGCATTTGAGCAAGTCTATACAAAATATTATGTCAAATGTATTATAGAAAGTCACGTGTTTTATCTGTTTGTTTGTTATTTAACACCGCACTCAGCAATATTCCAGCTATATGACAGCGTCTGTAAATATCGAGTCTGGACCACACAATCCAGTGATTGACATCATGAACATCGATTCACACAATTGAGATATGATGACATGTAGCAACCATGTCAGCGAGCCTGACCACCAGATCCCGCCAGTCGCCTCTTACGACAAGCAAAGTGTTTTGCATACACACATCTGTTATCGGATTCTGTATGTACATGACAGAGGAAATACTTAAATTGGGCATCTTGTATTAAAAATTTGCTGTTTAGCTACGACTTTGGGCATGTTTGGATATCCAGGGAGTATCCATTCATCTCTGTCCTGAAAAAACCCCAACATATTCTTGATTGTGCTAAACAATGTCAGGATTTCAACAAAGGGTGCATGTTAATTAATTTCTTCAGCCTAAACAATCAGACAAAAAGAACGGCAGAAGCTCATCGGATGTCGTTATATGGAAAAAAAACCCTGGTGGTTATAGTTTAATAATAAAAAAGTATCCATGCAGTGAAAGCATTTTCGGATTTCGGATTGCTTCAATAATACGATTGCTACACCCTTGTTGTGATCCATTTTTCTGGTATAACTCTACACTTGTGTATCTGCGTCATTCACTTGATGCTCAGTTAATGAATTTATTACAGGTATAATTAGTGGTAGCACCACTCAGATTACCTGATAAAGGTTCCTATTAGGCATTTCTTGTGGCTGGGGTAATTATTCAATCTAAATCCAGGTTTGAAGTGAGGTGAAATGTGTGTTATGTAATATGCAAGTGGCAGCCCAGCCACAGATGAATAATCAGTTGATTTACTTTTTTGTAAATCAACGGATCAGTCCTAGTCACCAAGGGATTAACAGAAATTACGTTGATTGTTCTATCACTGTCATCTTGCACAGGGGATATGTCAGGAGTAAGTGATTACATGTGAAGGTTGACTAAAGCAAATCGTAGCATGAAGTGCCGATGTAAAAACAACATACTTTGTTCAAAGGGTTAACCGATAATACGTTTATTGATTGCTCATTGTTATCTAACTCAATGGATTTCTTTTAAGAATCGTTGATATTATGAAAATAGTTGTCACCTGGGCTTTCTCAGCTGACCTTTGAGACTTGACTCCTGTGTGAAACAAACTAGGTGATCAGTTGAGAAACGTACACAGGTTATAATATTCCGAAACGATATATAATATATATATATAAAATATTTGATTGTTACAGAGACACGAGACATCGAATAAGTTTCTTTGTACAGCTGCAGACGTGTAGGGTATTGTTCCTTTATGTAGATATTCACGGATACATTCCTCGAGCAAGGAAGCTGTCCAAAATTATACATATTACTTTGGTAAGTTGTAATTATGATATCTGCATTTTGTTTTTCTTCATTATCATTCTTGTTCCTCTACGTCTTGGGAAGTTCTTCCATGCGCGATAGACGTCGTTTTCACAAGTATTTTCCTTTGTAGGCGTGTATATCTTACAGTCAATGTGTAAAATGTGATTCACTCAGGCAATTTATAAAACGTCTAAATATGTCATCCATTTTACAAATTGACTCACAGATCTGTCCATTTATTTAAAAGATTGACTAAAACTTTTTAAGACGGTCCAAACATCACAATAGATTAATTATGCAAGGAATAGAAGTCAAACAATATACAAATGTACTTCTAATTCTAATATTTTCAGTCACTTGGTCATGAAAAAAAATGTTTGGAATTCGTTATCATAATAATACAGATGAACATATTTTTTCAGTCACTTTGTTAAATAACTGAATCTTTTGGCGTTTAATAAATTTTCTAAGTGAAAATTTTGAACATTTTCACTGTAAAAAAATAAACACGATAAAATATGCAATGCTCAGGTGAAATATTTACTTTGTGTTACTCTGCTAAAATAGTGTAAAGGAAAATCGCACAATTACTAATGCTACCCACAAAGATACCTATTTTTCCTTATTATTTCCCAAACTGCGTGTTGCCCATTTTGTTGATCAATGTGACCATATGCCCTTATACTATCAATAAAAGAGTCAAATGCACTTTCGAATTGGGCATCACAGGTGGCGAACTGGTCTAGAATTCTGCTATATGATCCGGGTACTCACAGCGAAAAACAATAACAAAGGCAACAACTAGTCCCTTGGAATTGCTTTAGATCAGTGCCCCTTTAATGTCTTGGGAGTCTATCTATAAGGTGTAATGTCCCCTGAGCACTCAAGTTCAGACTTAATTAAAGCAACAACAAGGACGCCGGAATGAAATGAAATACTTTTATTCAAATATAACAACCAATGTGATATGCATGAAAAATACACCCATTTAACATAATTTTTCTGTTGCTCACAGTCTTTTCACATTCAGTGACATCAAAATAGGGTCAGTGTTTTACATTTGATGAAGATGTACCTCAAGAACAAAAGCGGGAACCAGGTATATATATCACAGAATAACAGTGAGCGAAGTGTGACCTTATACATCATTTAGGTCAAGAGACGGTTATTGAAACAAGCGTAAACATGATCTTGTTAGTCCAACTTGGAACAAGTGTAAAAGAATACATAAACATCATAAATAGCTGGACGGATAATTGTAAGATCAAATATTCCATAACAGAACAATATTTATTAATATATTAAGAATAATACTCTTTCCAATTTCTGTACTGACTAAATACAAGCATGTACGTTGTTAATGCTGAAGCAGCCTAAGGCGGCACTGTGGTTATCACATATGATGTATCACAGTAACAGACGAATGTTCTAATGACTAGAGCAAGGCATCACTAGCCCCTAGCAGACCAACCTCATGGGTGAGACTGTTTAAAAGGGAAGGTATCTATCCCTCAAAACAAACACAGCTCTAAAACAAGAGTCAACCGAAGATGACATATCCCCCCGACGCGGCATGTCGGTAAACTGTGTGTTCCTTCAAATGTATTTAGATTGGCAAGGAAATCTTTTTCCTTGATGCCAAAACCAGAAATATAATGAAGGTTATTACATATTGGTTCATGTAGCTCACTTTCTGATGATCTCAAATGTCAGGGGCTACAAATTAAAAAGATTAAAATCTATAAATAACAAACTGCACTACTAGTGAACATAGAAAGTTTGGTGAATCTCTGTCACATGGTTTAGAAGATATGCTCCAGACGAGGTCATTATCCTAAGTTCATCAATTTTCAATTAAAATGGAAAAAAGAAAAAAAAAGAAAAAATCTGTTAATAGCAAAGGCACCACACCATAACCTGCTTGATAGGTGTAAAAGCTTTTGAGAAGCTAAGTTGTATGATTCGGGAGATATGGTCCGGACAAGAGCACTACCCTCAAATTTCCTAAGTTCATCATATTTCCATGGAAACGACAAAAATAAAATTTTTTAAAACTCTCTAAATAGCAAAAGGCACTACTACTGAGCCTGATTGTTAAGTGTACCAAGTTTTGTGAAGCTAGGTTGTACGGTTTAGGAAATATGCTCCGGACAAACAATGATTACGGACGGACGGACATACTGATGGCTATATCCCCCCGTCATTATATGTCAGGGGGGGGGGGATAAAAATAACAATGTTCTACAAGATGGCATAAACCATCCACATAATTATGCAATAGGCTATACATAAGGAAAACAACATGAATTACCTTTGACTAAGAACCAATTAAACTGTAATCTGCATGGTTATTTTGAAGCATCTGCCTTCTGTTCTGTTGAAAAATAAATTCATCCTTAGTGAGTTATCTAACCAGCAACCTGAGAGAGATCACTTTGTCCACAAGTAAACTGGTTGGTCGCTTTCTAAAAACGTGAACTGACAAAAAGGGTTACACAACAGGGTTTTCTCTTCCCTGGACATAATACTGTGGCAGTGAGGATAACACGTTCATGTACAGCACCATTATTAAGTAGAACTAATTCCTCTTCCCATGTTTCTCCTGTTGTTAGTGTGAGTGTGTTGGGTTTAATGCTGGTTTTAACAGTATCCTAGTCATATCACAGTGTTCCTGTTGTGGTGGGGTATCCTAGTGGTTAACTAGCATTTGCTCGTCATGCTTAAGACCTAGGTTCGATTCTCAACATGAGTACATTGCGAGGAAGTCTCTTTCTGGTGTCCCCTGCCATGATATTCCTGGAATATTGCTAAAATCATAGTCACTCACTACTGTTCTTAGACACAGCATGTTTGTAATCTAGTTCTGCTCCAACAATGACCATCTAAGGCCCCTATGTAGTGTAGACCTTGGGGATTAACCATTTCACCTAGGCCTGGGTTATTAACTTAAATACATAAGCTGATCCAAGAAAAGCATGCTGCTTAACTTTTGGATGCAATAAATAATCTGCCAGACAAGTGGATACTTCTGCAATCTCATTAAAATCTGATCTAAGTTCATGCTGCCGCTAAAGAAAGATCTGAGGACATTCAATTACGGGTCACGTCAGAACGACCTTTCGCAAACTTTGACCGACCACTGAAATGACTAACAAGAAGTCGACATCAGCCAATTAGAAAGCAGCTTTTCTGAGCTTTACAGCACTGGATTCAACCTGGCGACTTTGAAAACTGAACAAACGAATATTCTGCAATGTCTAATATATGGTTCAGATTGTATGGCAGTGCAACCCACATACTGTGCAACGCCTCCTCTGTTCAAATGTTTATCCCACGGAAGCGAGAGTTCGACGATAATTTTGATGGAATCAGTTGTCAGGCAGTAACTGTCGTTCCGAATACCCCATGTTAACATTTTCAAGGTTCCATGATTAGAAAACACATTCTGCCTGTCACTTTTTTGATCTGGTAAGCGACGCTTTGATTGGTCGGATGAAAGGTCGTTCTAACGTGACCCGTAATGTGATGTCCTCAGATCTTTGTTTAGCGTCAACAAGAACTTAGATCTAATTTTAATGAGATTGATACTTCTGTCACTCATGAGGGTTATACAGTTTGGCTGGCATGAAGATGTAATGGCGAGTCTCTCATCTGGTGTATTCAATCTAGCAGTACAGTGCTGTCCTGGTCAGGATTCATCTACTTTCTCCATCAAACAAACTCATTCTTACAAGGTACTAAGGCTTAAAAAAAATAAAAGAATTTGTTCTCAGGCAATTGTTTTTGAAAATAAAGTGTGGGCAGGCGGTGTCTTTTTTCTCTCTTTTCCTCAAGCTAGTATGCAACCAAATAAACAGTTGTGTAACCAAATAAACAATTGTGTACAATCAACCTGGGAAAGGGCCTCCCAACAGAAATGTATTCCTTGATGAGTAAAATACTTGAGTACAGTATTTGACTACCATTGGACTTATAATATTTAAGGATTTTTTTGTTATTTTTAAAAAATGGAAATAAAAATGAAACGTGCGTCAAACTTTAGGTAATTCAGGCAGTGCGTGAGAACCAAGACTCTTATTTTTTTAGCCTAATATCTTACAAGTACTAATTCTAGATAATGGGCGATAATGTTGGGACATTAGATATAACATATCCACTCATAGGATGAACAGTGTTACTAGATATTTACACATATATGGCATCTGTGTAGTGAGCAGAACTGTTGATTGATGTGTGGATTGATTTGTGTCTTGAGCAGAAGAGTGTCCACACAAACATATCATACCCTTACAAATATTGAGTATTTGGCCCTTTTCTTCATAATGCAGATGAGGGCAGCTCTGTTGTCGCACCTTGTGAAGCTTTAATGACAGACAGTATCAAATGGCAGACAGCTGTCTGCAGCGGGACTGTTGTCACAACCTTCCCCACTAACACAACTTAATGTCAGACAGCTGTCTGTAGAAAGAATGTTGTCACAACCTTCTATACCATCAAATGGCAGACAGTTCTATCTGTAGAAAGACTACTGTCACAACCTTCTGTAGCATCAAATGGCAGACAGTTCTATCTGTAGAAAAACTGCTGTCACAACCTTCTGTAGCATCAAATGGCAGACAGTTCTATCTGTAGAAAGACTGCTGTCACAATCTTCTGTAGCATCAAATGGCAGACAGTTCTATCTGTAGTGAGACTGCTGTCACAACCTTCTGTAGCATCAAATGGCAGACAGTTCTATCTGTAGAAAGACTGTTCTCGCAACCTTCTCCAGCATCAAATGGCAGACAGCTCTGTCCGTATATGAATTGGGTCACAGCCTTCTCCAGTATCAAATAGCAGACAGCTCTGTCTGTAGATAAATTGGGTCACAGCTTTCTCCAGCATCAAATAGCAGACAGCTCTGTCTGTATATGATTTGCGTCACTGCCTTCTCCAGTATCAAATAGCAGACAGCTCTGTCTGTATATGAATCGGGTCACAGCCTTCTCCAGTATCAAATGGCAGACAGCTCTGTCTGCAGTGACACTCTGTTAGAAAGCTGACATTCCCCACGGGGATTACATGCCATGATCACAAAGTCATATTCTGTGTTTGGCTCCAAACCAAACACACGATGTTCCTGTCGACCGTATAAAGACACACTCTTCCAGAGACAGCGGTGACCTTGATCTGATGGTCGGTACAGCAGGAAGTGGGAGATCTTCTGCTCGATGGCAACATCAAGTGGGCTGGAGCTGCAGACCTGTATGGAGGACATGAAGCGGCGGCACAACGTCTCCAGGATCACCGGTACTGAAAAATACAACAACTTCAAATCACAAAGTGCAAACCGGTGGAAAGTACAACTGATCCAAGGAGTTTTGAAGAATGTTGAGCACCAGTTTTGAAATAATAAATAGCACAAAACAAAGACTTTCAAGTTGGTATTCTGACATATACTACAGTCTTTCCATTGGCAATTGTGACACTGGCACATACCTCGGACAAAACTCTGGCTCTAACTGAGCATGCAACACTGGCACATTTCCCCTCATTTCTGACACATTTTGCCCCACATAGAAGGTTGTGCTCATCATGTCCAGTAATTTTTTTATCACAAAATTCATACTTTCACGTTTGTTATTTCGTGTTTGTTAACCTCAAGCCTCATGATGTTGTTATTGCCTGTGCAAATCATATGAAGTAGAATTTTTTTCTGAAACTTGTGCCCAACAGTTGGTCATGTGGATTATATTCAAGTGTGCACTATACAAAATAGAATATGCCACACCATTCTCATTCTAACCAAAAGTGCACTCTTCCTCAACATACCTGGGACTACTCTCTCGCTCTGACTGAGGGTGCAACACTTGCACTCTTCCTCAACATACCTGGGACTACACTTTCGCTCTGACTGAGGGTGCAACACTTGCACTCTTCCTCAACATACCTGGGACTACTCTCTCGCTCTGACTGAGGGTGCAACACTTGCACTCTTCCTCAACATACCTGGGACTACACTTTCGCTCTGACTGAGGGTGCAACACTTGCACTCTTCCTCAACATACCTGGGACTACACTCTCGCTCTGACTGAGAGTGCGACACTGCACCACCTCGGAGTTGGCACTCTTCCCACCTGAGTTGACAGCGGCCAGACAGAAGTAGTAGGTGGTGGCCCGGTACAGATTTTCCAGCAGCAGGACCACACAGCTGCTGCTCTGGCTCAGACCCTTGATGATCTGCCGGTCGTCCGGGCAGCTCCGCACAGTCATTGTGTCCTGTAACATGGTAGGAGGTGTCTCACACAAGAACACAGACAACATTTAGGAGGGATTTCCAGTACGAGTAACAAAGTAACAGCTCTAATAATTCTAATTTGAAAGAATAGCATCACTATCCCATGTAAACTGTGACCAAATACAAAATAAACTTAAAAAAACCCATTCTTTTGTGTTGCCTAACATCTTGTTGTGTAATGTTTAAGCATATTTTTAACTGCTCTCAATCTCATTAAGATCAGATCTTAATTCTCGTTACCTCTAAACAAAGATCTGAGGACATACCATTAAGGGTCATGTCAGGATGACTTTACGTGAAATGAAATGACTAAAAAGAAGCTTACAAAAGCCAATAAGAAAGCAGCTTTCTTAAGTTTGACAGCACTAGTTCCAAAGGAACACACTTAAAAAATATGTTGACAAAGTTCTCGATTAAAAATCTGAAAACCAAACAAAAGTACATTCAGGAATGTCTAATGCATGGTCGAGATTGTATGGCAGTACTTCACACGGGTTATGCAATGTGTCTTTTGTTCAAATATTGACCCCGATGCAAGATTAGAAAACACATTTCAACTGTAACTTCCCTGATCCGGCGAGAAACACTCTGATTGGTCTGACATAACCCGTAATGGGAAGTCCTCACATGTATGTTCAGTTGTTTCAAGAACTATGATATGATTTTAAGTAGATTGAACTGTTGACCATTTCCAGTCTAGGTCAGGACACTCATGTGAACCTGAAACACTGTCTCTCTGTAACTAGAAAAGTGATACAGAACAGAAGCATCCCCCTCACAACCACATCCAGGAGGCCGAAGTAATTACTGCATACCAGCATTACCATTCCCTTTGGTTTGGGGAAATATGTTTATTATATACTTAAGTGTGAAAGACTGAGTTTTTTTAAGCTGAGAAAAGTTATATTTTCATTGCAGTGAACATAACACTTTGACAGAACTATAGTCTTACAAGAGTGACTTCCCCTCAAATTGTCTCCCTTTATCGTAAGTCTCTGGCCCGTACACAAACTGTTGACTTCCTTTTAACCTTAGTTCCACATTGACATGGCAAAATAATGACAGATGGTCATTTATGGAGTTAATATGGCTTCATGGCATTTGTTATTCTCTTGAAAATGTTCCGTTATAAACTGTAAATTTCTCATTTAACTCGTTGTTCGCAAAGCGCCATTTTTGTTACTTGACCAGCATGTATTCTTTGTTTCCAACAGCAGTCTCACAAAGTTTTCAAGAATATTTTTTGTTATTGTTGATTTTGCATATAATCATATTTTTTGTTACTTTTATTTATATTTTTTTATGATTTTTCCAAAACAAGACTACTTTTTTAGTCGCAATAATGCATAGGGTGGTGACCCGTCACTGTGTGTTAGGTAGGGAGAATTTACGTTTCAAGGTTTTACATTTGTAATGAAATAATTTAGTTTTCCGGTAAAGGACTACGTAAAAAGTATATAATAAATAGGATATTCCATATGTCTCGTGAATTATCATAATAATATCTCCTTTCACTCGGTGAGAGAAACATGATATGGATAATGTGTTGATCTATCTGAGGTACCTGTGAAGATCTGGGGTAGAATAGGTCTTCAGCAACCCATGCTTGCCATAAAAAAGCGAATATGCTTGTCATATAGCAGCGCTGAGTGCAGCGTTAAGCAACAAATAAACAAACAAACATATTCGCTCTTTATGCAAGGATGGGTTGCTGAAGACCTATTCTATCCCGGATCTTCACGTATACCTCAGATAGCTCAATACATTATCCATGCCTCTCTGTACTTAGAAATAACAACATTTATTTGTTAAAGCAAAAAGGGAAATGGGATATGATGCCACCAACATGATGTCTGTAAGTAGCTTGTACATGTACTTGCCCATCACACACATTTACATCTGAGTACTGCTAAAAACAACATAAATTCTGCTAAAAACAACATAAATTCTGCTAAAAACAACATCATTGAATGTGTTATATAAGATACCTACACCACAAATCGAAGAATGAATCGTGGTTTATTTCACAATAAAACATTGTTCTATTATGATGTCATTTCTGGAGATTCAAATATGTGCTCGCAACTTGATGGACAATGTCATTTTTGAGAGGTAAGTGTCTGAGTGATCGCATTAAAAAGTGGGCGAGATATGACAATTGGTATTTGGAGAAAAAGTACAGATAATGGACTTTTTTAATTTTCCGAAATCCATAAATACCAAATGTAACCCCCCTGTTTATAAAATGGACTTGTCCGACATGGCTGAGGTTGCATTGTATTCAGGGAGTCATCACTACTTAAATATGGGTAAATGTTTCTCAAGTGTTTACACCTTATTAACATCATTAAAAAGGCTGAGCCCCTCATGGTTTTTTGGTCAGTCAGCACAAATTTTGTGACCAAAAAACCCTGGTTTGCAGAAAAGACACAGTTGCCAATTGTGGCATTTAAGACCAAACTGCTGACAACCCAGTCCCCATGGGACATAGAGTTATGAATAAACAGCAGAAACTCCACACAGTGAACATCCTACCTCTATTCCTACACTCTTCTGTTCCTCAGAGCAGTAGCGGAGTTCATAGCTGTCTATCACCTCCTGGCTTGTCTTGGACGATGTCACCACCAGTGCTACTGCATCTTCACTGCGGGAACACTTAGTCACATCGATGATGGGCGTGCAGGGTGCTGCAGCAGCAAGGAGATAAGAATACTGGTAATGAATCACACTCAATACATCAATACTCAAAAATACCAATTATTATTAATAAAACTCAATACTTCAATACTCAAAAATACCAATTATTATAAACAAAACTCAACACTTCAATACTCAAGAATACAGATTATTATGAATAAAACTCAATAGATCAATACTCAAAATTACTGATTATTATCAATAAAATGCAATACCTCAAAACTCAAAAATACCATTTATTATAAATAAAACTCAATACAACAATACTAAAAAATATGAATTATTAATAAACTCAATACTTCAATACTTAAAAATACTGAATATTATTAATAAAACTCAATAGATCAGTACTAAAAAATACTGATTATTATGAATACAACTTTGGTAATACCATCTGCTACATATCACTGTCTACACTACTCATCAAAGTAGCAAATCATTTCTCAGGCATTCAGTTAGGCAGATCTTAACAATCTACAGTAAATCATTTCTCAGGCATCTTGTAAGGCAGATTTCACCCTTCTGGAAAATCATTTCTCAACTGTCTGATAAACCAGATTTCACCTAAGTAAGTCATGTCTCACTGATCTAGTAACGTGATCTCACCTGTCTGGTAAGTCATGTCTCACTGATCTAGTAATGTGATCTCACCTGTCTGGTAAGTCATGTCTCACTGATCTAGTAATGTGATCTCACCTGTCTGGTAAGTCATGTCTCACTGATCTAGTAATGTGATCTCACCTGTCTGGTAAATCATGTCTCACTGATCTAGTAATGCGATCTCACCTGTCTGGTAAGTCATGTCTCACTGATCTAGTAATGCGATCTCACCTGTCTGTAAGTCATGTCTCAGTGATCTAGTAATGCGATCTCACCTGTCTGGTAAGTCATGTCTCAGTGATCTAGTAATGCGATCTCACCTGTCTGGTAAGTCATGTCTCACTGATCTAGTAATGTGATCTCACCTGTCTGGTAAGTCATGTCTCAGTGATCAAGTAATGTGATCTCACCTGTCTGTAAGTCATGTCTCACTGATCTAGTAATGTGATCTCACCTGTGAGGTAGTGGAGATCTCTCAATGCTGCCTTCTCCCTCTTGAAATCTACAATCTTGGCTTTGAGGCTACCAAGGTCACATGGCTGGTACTGGCAACTCTCACAGTCCCTCTCAGCCTTGGATATCCTGGAGGGAAACAACACAGTAAGTCAGAGAAACACCACTATGCCAGGGGAACACACACCACCCTATGCCAGGGGATCACACACCACCCTATGCCAGGGGAACACACACCACCCTATGCCAGGGGAACACACACCACCCTATGCCAGGGGAATATCACCCCACCCTATTCCAGGGGAACACACACCACCCTATGCCAGGGGATCACACACCACCCTATGCCAGGGGAACACACACCACCCTATGCCAGGTGAACACACACCACTATGCCAGGGGAATATCACCCCATTATCTCAGGGACACCTCAATAGATGCCTTTTATTACTTGCCCGTGAAGAGATCACCCGTTTAATAAACATACAGCTGTATTACACATTGTGTAATACCAAAACGCGTGCTTATGTACTCTCGGAACACGTTTGACGAACAAATATTGAAAGCTCTGAACATCCCTTGGCTTATTCAATGACATTGCATGTGGAGTTGATAGATCACTGAGAGGAGCTTATGCACACTGGATCACTTGTTGCTAGGCTGACGTCACATGGCATTGTTTCGCTGATGGATTTTGCAACAAAATTCCACAAATTACGTCATCGGGTATTGTGACGTTCTTGTAAACTTTGAGGTGCAAGACCCGTTCCACAAGACGATCATATTGTAGCGCAACGACAGTCGTTAGTCTAAGTTAAAGTATGTGAGTTGCAATAGTCTTAGCCCTACGATAAATTTGTGAATTCTAAAGGTGGACCGTTGTATGGTATTAAATTCATACGTTTCAACATTTGACGTGTTTAAAGTATTATTCTGTTAAACTCAATTGGACTATGCCATGGATCGCGTAGGTGTCAGCCTATTCATACTCAACAGTATAATTCTAAAAACGTTATGAATGGCAAGTAATAAATAAAATACTAAACTTGCTCCCATGTAAAACCAATTTTATGAAACTCGTGAATAGTGGTAGTAACCACAACTATTCACTCGTCACTTGTTTAGTATTCTATATATCCTGGCCATGACGGAGCACAGAGTACACACAATTAATGGATAACAACTTCTGTAATTAATGCAAAGGCGAGGTTTCAGTATAGATCCTTATACCGTTGTCAAGCAAGGCTGGAGACGTGACACTCAACACCATCCAGATTGGCTTGACAATGGTGTAAGGAACTATACCGAAACGTTGCCTTTACAGTATTAAAGAAGTTGTTATCCATAAGTTGTGTCTACTTTGTCATCCGTCAACTTCTAAGTAATGCCTATCAAACAATTTACGATGGAGTGTACCACAACGAAATAAGACTGGTACTACATATCCCTCAGGTGAGAGTGTCTGGGTGTCGACCCGTAAGCCACAGTTGCACATGCCTCCCTCATACTACAGACACTTGACTACATATAGTCCTTGTAATCATGATATCGGTCTTTACAGAAAAGGAGTGAGTGAGTGAGTGAGTATGGTTTTACGCTGCTTTTAGCAATATTCCAGCAATATCAGGGCAGGGGACACCAGAAATGGGCTTCACACATTGTACCTATGTTGGGAATCGAACCCAGGTCTTCGGCGTGATGAGCGAACGCTTTAACCACTAGGCTACCCCACCGCCCCTTAGAGAATAGGAAGTTTAAACAGCTAACAGTTATCATACCTTTCATTCAGCGCTGAAGCAACCTGAAAAATAGTCAATAGAAATTTAGGACATTTATGTATGTGAAAAAGGAGTAGTGTCAGAGATGATCAGCTCACAGTGGAATTAGTTCCATCCATAACAAATATTGCCAACATAAATGCATCATGGAAATATCTTCCAAGTAAAAAATGTTGCAGGCGAACAATTCTCCTTGAGAAAATTAGCACTAAGGAACAAGTTCACTTCAGGAACAGATACTCTTTGACACACTCAATCACATGCTAACACATCCAGGGAGATAACTCTTCATACCTATCTCACCCAGCAATGGTACTATGAATAAAATCCCTTATATGTACATGATGCTACTTAATAATACATTTAATCAGCTGCAAGCTGATTTCTTATAAACGACAAAACTTTTATTTGAAGGTAATAGTTTAAAACTTTGCAAATTCAGAAAATTATTATTCAAATGTCAACTTGGGAAATATCAATATTTGCCCTTTGAATCAATAGAATCCATTCAGTAAGAAGGAATCAATGCAGTCTCTTCACTAGTTGTTTGCATTGAGCAGTGTGGATGTAAACTATTGTCACGAATGGGTTCGTTCATCATACCTGGGTATCATCGTTTGTACCATGTGTGCACCTTTCTTAATATCTGACCACTTTCCTGGTGTAGTTGATAGAGGTATGCAGTGACGGAAGATCAGTGGTTCCATCCCCTCACCACTTAATACCAAAAGGTGTTTGTTGTTACCCTGTCTGACACTTGGCAGTAAGGGGTAAAAACAAGGCAGTCGACTTGGAGTCAGCATACTGCGGATGAGTTGAGTATTCATGTTGAACTGTGGCATGGTATCTCGGTGGACTAGTGTAAGAGTAAATATTATCCAACCCTATTTTTAATTCCGGGGATGAAATTCTTTAGTGTCAAGATGATTCTCCCTAGTGAATTTGAACCCATACCAGTGTGTTTAATCCTATAGACACTATACTCTAGTGTGTTTAATCATATATACTATACTCTTGTGTGTTTATAATACTATACTCTAGTGTGTTTAATCCTATAATACTATACTCTAGTGTGTTTAATCCCATAGATACTAAACACTAGATTAACACTTCCCCGGGGATAATATTTAGGTAGAATATAATCCTTGCTAACACTAGCACTATAAAACCAGGTATTGATCCAAAATTGTACACGAACACGCACATTAAACACAATGATAAATTCCATTTCAACTTCACATTCTTAATATCTATCCAGGTTACATATTTCTGAACAAATGTTATTGAGTGTGGCAATCGGACACTGCGGTGTCTTTAAAGTCGTGATGCAAGAAATAGCATTGACGTGCATCTTGGGGCATCTTGATACTAATCAAAAGAATCCTGTACCATAAATATTTCCAAGAAAAGTGGTTCATTTGGTATTGAAAATGGCCTTCAAAACATGACCCCATGTTTTTGTGCCAGGTGGGCTAAGAAGGGCCGCACAATTTCAGCAACTAAATCAAATTGGCCGTAGCAGGATGCATGTGATGAAACCAGGAAGGCAAGGCACATAACGCAGGACTATGGTACATTTGCCAGGAGGGATAGGAATTTAGGTACATGGAGACATTATAAGTTGCCAACTGAGCTCGAGAGGAACATATGATGTGATATACCCTGTGTGTGAGCCGATGTACCTATCACACCATACGCCTTGACGGATTGGTTGCCAATGAATTTATCTCACTGACTTTCATTCATACAGACCCATAATATATATTCAAAATTTGACCGAGCTAAAAGCTTTTATTCAGGCATTTTGACAGCTTATAGACAATGCAAACAAACCAAGTTACTTCCCTTTACCCAATGCATTTGGATAAACATCGGTTCATTTCAGCTCAATAATACTATGTAAGATAAGCAAGTTACCTAAGGTGTGTTATGAAAATAATTGCTCGCTCCTTAACCAACCAGAAGCTAGTATTTTAATGTAAGGTGAGAATGGACATATACCGCGGGCACCGATGCTGGTACCCAGGTGGAGGACGGCCCTATTAGTGTCAGTCTATAGTCTCACCTCCAGGAAGGAAGCAGGGTCCCGCTTCAGGATGTCCTCAGTGTAAGTCTGAAGACTCTGGGAAGAGCCCAGGATCTTCTCAAACAGCTTAATGACCTCCTCCACGGTGTTCTGTCTGACACGCTCCTCGTTCTCGAGGTCGGCCAGGAAGAAGCTGCGCTTGTTTTCTACCTCCGCCAGCAGAGAGTCACACTGCATGTTGATCTCATCTCGCTTCCGGTCCACCAGCAGCTGGAGGCAAAAACAAATTCTTTATTAATTTTGTTGTTCCGTGTCATTGTTTGTCAACAGACATAAAATGCTTTCATCGGGCATCTTCCTGAGGCAAGAGAGTTAACTGACTACAAAAGTCCAGTTTCCACTAGGCTGGTATTATGGAGTTAGATTTTGACTGGACTAACGAGTCTATGCATAGTCCAATCAGAATCACACAATCAAATCAAAATCCTGTTCGTAAGCTGTCATACTAATTTCAACAGATATTTTCCAAATCTTTTCATGACTTTAAGCAAGGTGTTCAAGTGATTTCATGCACTTGGTGATGTAAGACAATATAGATCTTGATTATTGATCAGATTGTCTGGACTGGGTGCCACCATTTTGTTTGAAGCAAATGCAAGAAATACAAGAGGTGGAATCTGATTAGTCTATAGGAGAGGCATAGAAGGGACATAACTCGTAATAGCCACTGGTGGCATTACGATCCAGCCCAGGAATTCCAGCCTAGCTCGGCAAGGTGATCTGTATGTTATGTACCTGCATGTCCTTGAGGTGATCAATATATGATGTACCTGCATGTCCTTGAGGTGATCAATATATGATGTACCTGCATGTCCTTGAGGTGACCTATAGATATATATAGTCCTTGAGATGATCTATACATAATGTACCTGCATGTCCTTGAGGTGATCTATATATGATGTACCTGCATGTCCTTGAGATTGAACTATACACAATGTACCTGCATGTCCTTGAGGTGATCTATACATCGTATACCTGCATGTCATTGAGGTGACCTATAGATATATATAGTCCTTGAGATGATCTATATGTAATGTACCTGCATGTCCTTGAGGTGATCTATATATGATGTACCTGCATGTCCTTGAGGTGATCTATATATAATGTATCTACATGTCCTTGAGATCTATATATGATGTATCTGCATGTCCTTGAGGTGATCTATATGTAATGTACCTGCATGTCCTTGAGGTTATCTATATGTAATGTACCTGCATGTCCTTGAGGTTATCTATATGTAATGTACCTGCATGTCCTTGAGGTGATCTATACATAATGTATCTATCTGCATGTCCTTGAGGCGATCTTTACATAATGTACCTGCATGTCCTTGAGGTGATCCATACGTAATGTACCTGCATGTCCTTGAGGTGATCCTGCTGCAACTTTAGACTGGTCATCATCTTGCACTGGCTGTCGGTCAGTCTGTCCAGACTCTCCTTCAGGTTCAGCTGAGATACAACAACATATTACTTCATATTGCTGGTACGAGACCAAATTTACTACCCAGGTATCTGACCCCCTACTACCCGACCCAACCCAATACACACTATAGGTCTCAAGAGTTGGGAACAAAATGTCTGATAAGGAATTGTTTTACCACAACCCTAGCAAAAAGTATATAGATACAAGTATCAAACGCTCAGATCATGCGTACACTGAAGTTGACTGAAGCCTCATCATTACTCAATTTGACAAACATGTACAAGTCAAGAGGAATACGTGCATTGTCAGAAAGAAATGCGGACATTAGCAACTTGTAGTGTTACTGTAGCAGGGCGAGGAGTCATCCCACAGATGACATTGTCAGCTTGCTGACAGGGTTAACCTCTTTGGTCATGTGGACAAGGCGTCCAACCTCTGATCAGAATATCCGTGGTTCGAATCCCATCATGGGACTCAGAAATCCTATTGCCACTACATTGGTTGCCCAACGTGGGTCTGAGCACGTTCATATTAAATTTGAGCAAAATAAGCCTCAGTACCCTACTATGGGGCCCAGGACGTGCCTTCTGTTGACGGGGGAGTATGTAGCAGGGCGTGGAGTCATCTAACAGATGACATCCTTACCTTGAATCAGAAGGTCCGTGGTTCGAATCCCATCACAGGACTAAAAATGTTATGGCCGCTACATTACCATAGATCTATAGTGAGTTTTTGTCATTAAACAATATATCATGTGACTAACCACGAGTCTGGGTAGTACTGCGGGTACCCGGTCAGGACCACCTGACCTGAGTAACTGAATGGCCCATCCCAGCCCTACTTCATATCCATATTTCATACATGGAACAATGCTTCAAGCTCCCTTTTCCACACAGACAATGTGCTGGTCAAATCAATTCCACAGGTCATGTTATATTAATGCATATAGATCTACATTTAAGGGACTAGCCATTTACTATCCTGGGAGGGGCGGGGGTGCTGGGATGTTGGTGAAAAGTAGGATATTTTGTTTCAAAATATTTTACTGTTTCAAAAGAAATTATTTTTCTAAAAACATCAAACTGACTCGGTACAAAAACACTGATGTACTTACTTTCAGTTTTGCGTATCCCTCTTCAATGGAGACAGTAGGGTGGTCAACGTGAAGCTCTGCTTCATCACATGCCAGACAAAATGGCCGCCGACACTGATGACAGAACAAGCTCAGAGCTTCTCCATGTTCAGAACACAACACTAAAGCTGACCGAAGCTCCTTCCTTGGTTCAATTAGTTCATGATCTGTGAACGGTTCCCGGTTTGGATGTGACAAACGGAGACAGTTTGAGCAGTATGATGCATTGCAGTCTAAACAGGACTTCTTCGCAAGTCGGGGGGAAATCTCACACAGCTGGCACAAAATCCCATCAGATGAAGTTTCCGAGCTGATGGCAAGGGCTTCTTGTTCTTCCAGATCCTTGCGGCGTTCCGCCTTGTACTTGTCGATGATGTTCTCAAGGGTGATAACTCTTGGCAGACTTGATATGCCTCCACTGATGTAGCAGTTGTCACGACACACGGGGCAGCGGATAAAGTCATAGTCAAACAGATTCTCCGCACACGGGGATCGGCACAGGATGTGAGAGCAGGGGAGGATTATGGGATAGCTGAACAACTCAAGACATATCGGACATTGTAGGTCACTGTCCACCTCCATTGTTCGCCCTACACTGGTCCGACGCCTCTGCAAAACAGAAAAATTACATAAAACATTACTTCTCATTTGCAGTCTTCAAAAGCATCTGGTAAATAAAGCTGTTTTGTGTCTTCACTTATTGTGTACCTCGGTTTGAAACGCTCCCCATCATCTTATTTTTTTGTTTTGTTTGTTTGTTGCTTAACACCACACTCAGCAATATTCCAGGTATATAATGCAGTCTGTAAATAATGGAGTCTGGACCAGACAATCCAGTGATTGACATCATGAGCATCAATCTACGCAACTGGGATACGATGACATGCATCAACCAAGTCAGCGAGCCACAGACCACCCTTACTACAAACATAGTCGCCATTTACGACAAACATAGTCGCCATTTACGACAAACATAATCGCCATTTACGGCAAGCATGGTCTTTTTATAAGTCTTGCAAGACTATTCTGAATGTTGCAAGAACCGTGCCCTGAGTAAATCAGTTGTGTAGTATCCGGCAACAGAGTTTGTCATGCATTCAACTCCGGGACAGTCTCCCTGTCAATGTTATTTATTTTACAGCGGCGAAAATTTACAAGAGGAAAGAAATTAAAGTATCTACGAGTGATAACTGCTTAAGCAATATTTACAAATATCCAACCAATGCATCCTAAATTCACAACACACAAACAAACAATAGTAAGTTATCTTGCCCATACACTTGTTCCGTTGGGAGATGGTATATTAGAAAAAAAGTTTCATTGTCAAGATTCTCATCATTCAAAAACATCATCATTCAGGAGATAAATGGGTGTACCATGGTGTATCCATACAGATTTTACATGCCCTTTTGGAATTTAGCGTGTCAGCAAGAAAAGCAGTTGAAACTAGAATGTGTTTTTACTATTGTTTCCTACAAAACAATTCATAAGTTTGAGAGTTATGGCTTGGAAACAACACCTAGAGTTACTTTAGACTAAGTCCAAATTGTTTTCATGGAAACAAAACAAAATCAAATTTAGAAAAATAGCAAAATGCACCAGTGAAGCTGATGTTTTCAAGATATGGCACTCAAACAAACCCTAAATTAAGTCAAAATTGTTTCCATGAAAACATAAAAATGTTGTTTAACAAATTTCCAAATAGCAAAAGGCACTAGTTAAACTGATAACCAATGCATATGTGCAGTTTCATAGAAAAATGGAGGATGGTCTGCATTGAGTTATGGCCGGGAAATGAACTCTACCCTCATTTGAGAATGTCAAAATTGTTTTCATGGAAATATTCAAAAATATAATTTTGAAAAATTTCAAAATAGCAAAAGGCACCAGAGAAGCAGATGAGCAATGCATATGCCAAGTTTCCAAGCTATGGCTCGGAAAGGAACCCTACCCTCATTTGAGACTATGTCGAGATTGTTTCTATGGAAACATAAAAAACAATATTTTGAAAATTTTAAAATTGCAAAAGGCACTAGTTAATCTGATGAGCAATGCATATGGCAAATTTTGGTGAAACACATTGAACTGTTTTCAGTCATGGCCCGGAATATGATGGGAACACCAAAGCCGATGGCAATGGGAACGAAGCCAAAAATGATATGTCTCCCCTCACATTAGGGGGAAAACATAATTTAGGAATTTAGGAAGTTTGCGTATTCCTTTTTTATTATTAACTTTGGAATCGCTAAGTTGATTTTGTTAATCACTGCACATTTCGTGGGCTCTTGCGGTCATCAATTGTTCAAATCTAGACAGACAGACACTTTCTGGTAAACTCATGAAATGCACAGGATTGTTGACTGAGAATAGTAGGCCTACCCTATGGGTACAACTTTCATAATAAACAAGCAATAATTTAAAATACACAGATTTAGTGTTATTTTGGAGGCTTTTGTTAAGTCTTGCGTTCAGTAGTATTTATCAATATCATGATGGCCATTTACTGAAAGCCTGCACACTGAACCATGCCACAAGGGTTCCACACAATCGCAGACTACCAGCATTTAGGAATATTTCCTTAAAGAGTGATCCAATGCAGCATTAACCTACTAAAGGCATAAATGGGATCTGATCCTGAAATCTTGAAATAATGGATTATCCATACTTGTGAAGTAATACCATGAGCCCCCTTCCAAGACTTAATGTACAAATGCTCTTTTCATTCAGGACAACTAGACAAGGCTTCTCCAGGGACTAGTGGGTAACCCTCAGGTGATACTTGTAAACAAGCTGGATTATCTGACACATATGAAACGTGGAAATGAATAACTGAAAAGCGAGTGAGTGAGTGAGTTAAGATTTATAGTCACATCAGCAGTATTTCAGCCATAACTGAAAAGCACTTATTTATCTTTGGCCACACTTTTTTAATTTAATGTTTCATTGATTTATTGCAGCTTTTCCACTCAAGGTCGGTCGAAATTTAAATAAAAATAAATAGCATGGTCAATCATTTATTTATTAATATGAATGTCATTCTGCCCTGCTAGTGTGAGTGAGTGAGTGAGTGAGTGAGTGAGGTAGGTTTGCCACTTTTACGCCGCTTTTAGCAATATTCCAGCAGTTGGGGGACACCAGAAATGGGCTTCACACATTGTAGCAATGTCGGGAATTGAACACGGGTCTTTGGCGTGACGAGCGAACGCTTTAACCAATAGTGATATAGACGTAGAATTTATATATGACATCTTATATTGTATAAGAAGGTCTATATTACTATTTGGAGACATAATAAAAATAAATATTTTTATGTTTAATGTATCTCTTTTCCAGCTGCTTTTCAGTAGGGTTGGCGCGACCGTGAAATGAAAAATAAAAAATGTATGGCGTTATTCTGCCAAAGACAAACGAACATGATAACAAAACAAGACTGTAAGGTGAGGTGAAATGGGGTTTAACGTCGCATCCAAGATTATTGCACTTACCGTATTCGACGTAATAAGCGCCCCGCTCTAATAAACGCCCAGGCATTAAAAATGTCTGGCCTCATATAATCACACCAAGGAGTTCATTCAGGTGAATCGAATCAGTCCAGGTGCCACTAGCTGACCAGCTTAATTAACCCATAACCTTTATACAGAGTTGTAAGATTCTATAATAACACATCATGACTTAATGGCGAGACGACTATGATGGTGTAGTATCAATACTTTGAGTATCAATTTCCCAGCAAAGGAGTCGTCAGATTGTTGTGACTCTAAGCCTGGTGGTATTGTCCTAATCTGTCAAGTGTTACTCTATGGCTGTAGACGTCAGGTGTTGAAACCCTTATCACCTTAACTAAACCCCCTACCTAAATGCATTGATAAGACTCTTAACATCTACCTAATAAGATCTAAATATAATCTATCAAAATAGACGTTATACTGGAGAATAGTTTAAGTGGACTTGAGCGATATTCAACCAATATGACAAGAGCGAGACAAAATTGGGCTTCACGTATGTGGCGAGCTAACTCAACGGACTTTGGTGTGAGACGCAAACAGCTAGGATAACTTATATAAACACCCTCTGTAAAATGGATATAAGTGTTTGCATAGTTTAGTGTAAGGGAATAATCTGTACTTGTCAGAACTGAATGAATATGTACACACACGCACACACACACACACACACACACACACACCAGATCTTAATTTATCATCCAAAACTTGGGCGATTTCGTTTATATCATGAAGATGTTACAATCACATAATACACCCAACTGATTTCAGACAGCATGGTATGTCAACTGTGGCCTCTGCAATTTATGTATTATGTGAAACCCTGCTTTTTCAAAATTATGGATCTGCTTCTGATCAGTTTTTTTGTTACATTATGGCCACTGTCTTGTTTTTTTCAATACTGTGAATACTGATTACTCTGGTGTATAGGTAAATGGTATTATCCAACGATATATCTCCTTAAGGATCAACCCATGATATATTGCTACAATGCTTTGTCATCGGTACCATCACAATGAAATTACTTCACTAATCTCTCTGCCACTCACACACCCTCAGACACTGTTTATTACTGATAAGTGATCTTAAACTGAAAAAGTTTAAAATTTAAAATGTTTTTTGACTTGTGTTCATATATTTAATATCAAAAGACAGATGGTTAAAGCGTTTGTCGTCACACCAAAGACCCTGGTTCGATTTCCGACATGTGTACAATGTGTAAAGCCCATTTCTGGTGTCCCCTGCTGTGATATTGCTGGAATATTGCTAAAGGCGGCGTAAAACCTCACTCACATTCAGGCATCTCCCAACATTCCTGTCATCATCACAACTACTGTGTCAATCGACAGCTTTCAGGGGTGAAACATTACAGCATGGTCACGATACATAGGTAACGATGATAAGTATCCCCGGAATACGCATATATATGTCAAACCACCGAAAACGTCTTGACAAGAAATATTTCGGAGCAATTTCAAAAGGAAATTAGCAAGCTGTAGACACATGTCTGTAATGGCTTAATTTTTAGTAGTGAACTGGAAACCCTAATTACAACACATTTTGCTTTATCTGCCTGACAAAAATGAGTCAGTAATTTATTTCAGCAAGTGTACCGTCTTGTATCGATACAGAGAAATATGTATCATGGATCGTATCGTCACATGAAAACTCACGATGTACCGGTACACAGATGTACCGTTTCACCCCTAGCAGCTGAGTAAGGTGTTGTTACTGTCTGCAAATCATCCACCCAAATATATCTCATTTGTTTTTGCCTTCCAGCAACATAAAAATTCTTAAAAATATTAATGGCAATATATTGCAATTATTATGTATCACAATTGAGATCTAGTATCACAACAAAATTCCATGTATTACACAATCATAATATGTACCATTAGAAACACACACACGTAATAATCTTCATCAATCACACTAAGTACATGTATTGCAGCACTCTCTGACAGTGTCTCCCCACAACTAACGGTATCAGTACAACACCGTCACACAAACAGTCCTGTGTCTGTGTACATCTTACCTTCAACACTATTTGTAGCATTGTGTGCCTGTCACTTCAAGTAATCAATTTCAAATGTCACCCTCCCA